GAGGGGTGGCCTGTGGAAATGAAACTCCTGGCTGGTATGACTTCTACAAGGCGCCTAAACACAGTTTCCTCCTTTAACCACTTGGGACCAGGCTCACCGGCCGCGACGCCTCGCCCACAGCCACACCCACAGTCCGCACGGCGGTCTGTGCTGCGCATGGACGACGCGTCCGTCTCGCTCTTGTGTCGTGAGGAAAGCTTGAAAGCACTGAAAGCTCGTTCTACTTTACAGGCAGTTTTAGGAAAATAACTACAATAACCTACTAAGGACTTGTTAAAGGGTCACAGATTCGTAGTAACTTGTTAGCTGAACGTACACACTGCAACTGCAGAGATAAAAGCCAAAGCTTTTGGGTGTCGACTAAAGTCTATGCTCAAATTCATCTGTGGCTGTCGACTGCAGTCGACGCTGGGCTGTGCGCGTTCATCTGTGGCTGTCAACTATAGTTGACACTTGCCGTGCATGTTCATCTGTGGCTGTCAACCCACTACAGTCAACATGGGGCTGTGCACATTCATCTGTGGCTGTCAACCCACTACAGTGGACGCTGGGCCGTGCGCGTTCATCTGTGGCTGTCGACTATAGTTGACACTGTGCCGTGCGCGTTCATCTGTGGCTGTCAACCCACTATAGTCAACACGGGGCCGTGCGCGTTCATCTGTGGCTGTCAACCCACTACAGTGGACACTGGGCTGTGCATATTCATCTGTGGCTGTCAACCCACTACAGTGGACACTGGGCTGTGCATATTCATCTGTGGCTGTCAACCCACTACAGTCGACACGGGGCTGTGCATATTCATCTGTGGCTGTCAACCCACTACAGTCGACACTGGGCTGTGCATATTCATCTGTGGCTGTCAACCCACTACAGTCGACACGGGGCTGTGCATATTCATCTGTGGCTGTCAACCCACTACAGTCGACACGGGGCTGTGCACATTCATCTGTGGCTGTCAACCCACTACAGTGGACACTGGGCTGTGCACATTCATCTGTGGCTGTCGACTATAGTTGACACTGTGCCGTGTGCCTTCATCTGTGGCTGTCAACCCACTACAGTGGACGCTGGGCTGTGCACATTCATCTGTGGCTGTCGACTATAGTTGACACTGTGCCGTGTGCCTTCATCTGTGGCTGTCAACCCACTACAGTGGACGCTGGGCTGTGCGCATCCACTACAATTGACGCTGGTACCCAAGTGGTTAAACCACCACCGCAGGTGGAAACTCTAGCTGGGTTTGGGTGACAGGAGGGCAGAAGGTAAGACCAGGATTTTCTAAATATAATTTTGTTTTCTGAAAGGAAAAAGCAAGAGCTTGCTGGCCCCCCCACCCCCCGCCCCACAACCTGCATGTGAGGGCAGCGGCTGGGACTCCCGCTCAGGGCAACAACTTCCTTCCTCTTCCCCGGCGACGGAGCCTGCGTCTGTGGTCTCTGTGGCTACCTGCCTCACAGCTGCCGCCCTGGCCCACCCGGCGAGCCAGCCGCTGACCTGCGAGAGCGTCCCCCCGGGAACCTCCCTCTGCCAGGCGAGCTCCCCAACCCCATGCCCCATCTGCCGGGACCCTGCTTCCCCGTCTTGCTCTCCACCCCTTTACCACCGAGGTCTCATCTCTTCACAACCATGTCACAGTCGGTGCTCGGCCTGAGCTTGCCGGGGACCCCTCGTTGCCACCTGTGGAGACCCCTCCTCACGGTCTTCCTAGTCGACCTCTTGGTCCCCTCTGAGCCCATCCGCCGCCAGCCTCGAGAAGGCCCGTCCTCCCGGGGTCCCCTGTGGGCTCAGAGCGGTCGGCTCCTGCCTGGCTTCCACCTGCCGGCACTCATCCCGACACACCTGTGTGGCCTCACCTTCCCTCTCACGCCAGCCGGCCGGCGGCTGCAGAAAGTCCACCCTATTCTCCGGGCACGTCTCGGGCCCAGGTGTGTGACTCCAGGACAGCGAGCTGCACAGGCGGAGCCTGGGGCGCCTCTGGTGGTATGGGGAAACGAACGCAGGTGGGTCTGGCCGCGTGTGCGGCGGGGGCCGGGCGCGGCAAGGCCCCCAGGGGGTGCAGAGTCGGTATGAGCAGCTGGGACGTCCCAGGAAGGAGCCTGGACAAGGAGAAGAAGACACAAAAGAGCGCTACCGCGGACGTCTCCGGATCACGGGGCTCTGTGTGTAACTGGCTGCAGGAGTGCGGCAGGCGCTGACGCACCCTCGGAATCCTCCGGAAGGGTGGAGAGCAGACTCTTCCAGTCCCTTTTAAGTACAGTTTGCCTGTTTGAACGTCGCTTCTTCGAAGTCGAGGGCCGTCTGGTACTGAGCCCCAGTAGTCGGGGGCTCCCGGGATCGTACTCGAGCGGAGCGTTGCCGTGGTAGCGCCCTCCTGGTCACAGCGCGTGTGAGGCACCCTTCGGCGTGGGGCTGCGAGCCAGGCCCCGCACATACGTGTGAGGCTGCAGCCATGGGGTCCAGGTGCGGGCCGTCCTGCAGGGAGCCGTCACGGGGCACGAGGTCTCCCAGGGAGGGAACTGGGGGAGGGAGAGAGACCAGCGCCGTGGGGCTAGGGAGGCCCCCCGGGGGCAGACAGATGTGCTGCGGGGTTAGAAAACCCACCCGGAACCTCACACTGGCTTGTCCGAAGCCGAGGACGGCGGGCGGGCGGGTCGAGAAGTGTGGCCAACGGCGTCCAGGGCTCTGGAGAACTTGACACACACGGGGGCCGGGGCCCCGTGACGACCCCCTCCAGGCCCCGCTGTGGCGTCTCATCAGGGCCCTCTGGGGCCGCCATGGGAACGGCGGCACCTGCCCCCACTCCGCTCACACCTGGGCGTCGTGTCAGAGCCCAACTGCACCTTCCTCTGGTCTCCAGGGCACGAGCTTCTCAATCAAACGCTCCTGCCCCTGCCTGCGGCGTGAGCAGGCACTGCTGTGGGCGTCGCACCTGGCCCTGCTCAGCAGCTCCCAGACACCACCTCCAGGATGGCTGCCCACACCCGGTCCCATTAGCATGGCCCCAGCCACACGGTGCTCTGCCTCCACCCACCTCGAACCCCATGCCCCGGGCGGCAGCGGACCCCGATGGCCGGCCGCCCCGCTGCTCACGGTAGCTGCCCAGACCTCGTCCACCCTCCCCAGTCTGGACGGCCGGGCCTCCCCCCACTCCGCAGAGGGTGGCGTGGGCTCCTGCTTACCGGAACATTCCTCACTTTCCTCCTTCTGCCTAAAAATGCCCATTCATTTCGCACCTTCCTGCCTGGAGCACCATTTCCCGTCACCTGGTCCTTGTCTTCTCCCTCTCTCCCCCACCGACGTAAGCCTGGGGCTGCTCACCGAGTAATTTTAGGTGCTCGTGTCTCTCGGTTTCCAAAGGAGACGCTCCACACCTCACTGAATGACCGCAGGAGCGTGCTCATCAGCAAGTCCGATTATTTCCTTTCCCTCCAATAACAAAAACAAGAGCCGGGGTGGCCGGGCAGTTAGCAGAGCCTGGGGAACTCAGAACCCCCTCGAGTTCGTCTCCTGCTCATCTCTAGCCACGATGCGCCGTCCCTATCTCAGTTATCTAAGAGACAGCCAATCAGTCGAGGAAATGAGCTGGGCGAGCACCTGGACAGGAAGCCATGGAGCCGACAGCACAGACGACCGAGCGGTCTGTAGCATGACAGTCCGCATCTTAAGAAGCCGGTGCCGTGTGTTTGACCTCCGGGTGGTGCCCACGGGGTCCTCATCTCCAGACCCGGCACCGTCCTGCAGTGTGGACTGTGGCGCGGGGGCCACAGGGCTGCGTGGCAGCCAGGGGTCGTCCCACCGGGACACCCCACCCGTCTCCCGCTGGGGCTTTGCTCCCAGGGAAGGTGCCCAGGGCAGCCGGGGCCAGGAGGGGACGGGGCGCCAGGAAGGCTCTGAGCGGGGCTTGCGTGTGTCGATCCCCAGTCTTCTCAACGCCTCTCGAAGGGGACACGTCTCTCGTTCGTGTCACAGGAGAGGAAAGTTGCAGAGTTTAAGGAGCTTGTCCAAAGCTGGGGGGAATGTGGCTGTGGAAGGTGGAATTTGAGCCCTGGCCCTCCGGAGCCCAGACCTGCAGGAGGGGCAGGAAGAGCAGAGGAGGGTGGATGGGGAGGGGACCAGTGGCCTCGGGTGCAGTTGGGGTGGCTACTTATGACCCCACTGTCTGGTGAAGGCGGGTCGGGCGCAGTGACACGTGAGAACGTTCCCTGTTTATCATTTGCTGGAAGTACTGGAAGTTTCCACTCTCATTTCCACTCTCGGGTCCTCGCAGGAAGTGACCGAGTCCGGCGGTCATGAAAAACGAGGAAGCCGCGGTGGCCGCCCCAGGCGTGCTGGGGCCCATCAGTGAGGAGCAGAGGACGCCTGGGAAAATGGCTTAGCTTTTTTCTTTGCCTCAGTTTCCCCATCTGTGAAATACTCCACGCCTCGTAACGTTTTGGTAAGGATTCAGATGAACTAATTCATGCATATAATTTTCATAAGGAAAGAGGATTCCTTTTGGCGTCTCTTTCCGGAGAATTCTCTGCAGCTGGGTCCTCCTGGTCGCGGCCGGGCTGCGGCGTCCTGCACCCTCCCGCGCGAACACCAGGGGGCGCCCGGCACGCACGGACGCGGCTCGCTGCCTCTGCCCGGTCCGGCTCCTTTGTCTTTAGCAGGAAAGAAAAGCCACAAACCACCTGGGCAGCCAGGCTGCCGGCAGTGGTGACTACAATCCAAACGTGGCTTTCTGGCTGACTGTGAAGCATTTGCAGTTTCCCCTGCTCCAGTTTTGGGGGCCCCGCTGAGCAGGGAGGCGGGGTCCTGCGTGAACTGCGCAGACACTTCTGTGAAACCAAACGCAAACCGCGGGCTCCGCAGTGGGAACCCTCACCTGGCGGAACCCTCAGAGCAGGCGGATGGATCTCAGGTGGCCCTGGAGGCACCGTGCGGAGCAGCTTTAAGGACGCTTCGTGGCCCCCCTCCCCGCCGTCACCCCCAAGACAAAAGCCCTTGTTCTCTGTCTCTTTGCACAAACCCCGGCTCCAACGTACGACAGGCCCACGTTGCAAACCAAGCAATAGAGAGGAAATAGGAACTCTATCTTTGACATCAATCTTCAATTTCCTGTGTTAGGAGAACATTAAAAAAAAAAATGGCAGACTGCTCTCTGGGCGAGGGCACAGGGAAACCGTCCGTTCTCCGTCTGAGCTGGCCGTAACGCAGAGGTTTAGCAGCTGCTTTTGGGAAGCTACCTGACAACTGGTCACAAGCGCCACAGAAATGTTTATATCCTTGTAACTATAAACCCACATAGAGGAATCCCACCTAAGGGGAAAATGCCTAGATACAGAAGAACCATTGTACATAAAGATGTTGTGTTATTTCTAGTAGAAATCATTGGAAACTCTTGAAAGCCTCACAAGAAGGGTCGACCTCTGCTCAGTAGAACACGGCCCGGACGGGATTACGAGTCGCCCTGGCGCAGAGCCCGGGCAATGCACCACGCCTGCGTTTGGGGCTGGGCGGGGTGCGGGCGCAGGGCCCCAAGGCCAGGGGAAGCTGAGCCAAAACATCCGCGCAGCTGTGCTCCAGCGGCGGAAGTCCAGCTCCCCTTTCCTGGGCTTTCTGAGTTTTTATGTGACGGGGTTGCATTTTATTTTCTGCTTGAAAAATAAATAGAATTCACTTTCTTTTTAAAAACACACTTTATATATCACTGTGAGAATGCCGAATGCTGTTCAGTAGGAAGCCACAGGCTACCACCACGACCAGCTTCACACAGCCCGGCGTGCGGGAGCCCGTGTCCTCGCGGGCCGTGACGGCGTCCGGCGAAAACAAGGAAGCCGCGGTGGCCACCGCAGGCGTGAGGTCCAGGCTGCAGCCCCAGGCGTGCGGGGCCCATCAGTGACAGGCAGAGGACGCCTGGGAACATGACTTGGCTTTTCACTTGGCCTCAGTTTCCCCGTCTGTGAAATACTCCACACCTCATAACGTTTTGGTAAAGATTCAGATGAAATAATTCATGTTTAAAAAAATCGCATTTAGAAGATGATTCCAACCAAAGAATATCCATAGCAACAGATGCAGGTTTCCCTTCTGGGCGGCACGGTGCCGATGCACCCGTCCAACAGACACGTCTCGATCTCGTCAAGCGTGTAAGCGTCAGCCCGCGTGTGCCTCCCTGGGGACGTGAGGACAAGCGGGACGTCGTTTCCTCCCTTGCACCTTTTACAGGCTCCACCTGGAGAAGCCAGGAGCGCCCTAACCACCACGACTAAGGCCACGCGCTCCTCTCCCTGCTGGGCCGCGTGTTCACGCCAGCAGGAGCGACCCCGAGCAACCTCGCCACCCTGTCCCTGCGGTTTTATTACCTCCCAGATTGTTCCATAATCACCGTTGTTTTCGGAGGGAAAAAGCACTTTCCATTTTAGCCACTTGGGTACGGCTCTCACCGGCCGTGACACCTCGCCCACAGCCGCACTCACGGTCCCCACAACAGTCTGCGCTGTACATGGACGACGAGTCCATCTTGCTCTTGTGTCATGAGGAAAGTTTGAAAGCACCGAGAGCTTGTTCTACTTTACAGGCAGCTTTAGGAAAATAACTATGATAACTCCTACTGAGGACTTGTTAAAAGGTCACAGATCCGTAGTGACTTGTCAGCTGAACGCACACGCTGCAGCTGCAGAGATAAAAGCAAAAGCTTTTGGCTGTCGGCTACAGTCGACGCTCGGCTGTGCGCGTTCATACACGGCTGTCGGCTACAGTCGCTGTGCGCGTTCAACTGTGGCTGTCAACTACAGTCGACGCTGGTACCGGATTGGTTAAAGAAGAAAGTATTTTCGGACTTTTGTTTTCTTTACATGTTTTAAGTAGCAAATAAAGAACACACACGAGTTTCCCTATTTCCAAATAAATTCAGGTAAAGGTGAGATGCCTGCAGGTGACTCCTCCATGGCTCAGGCCCCACCCATCCCCAGAGCCCCGAAGGTGGCGTTGTCCCTGCCCCTTGTTCATTTGGATGTGCGAAGAAGACATTGAGTTTCATGTTCTCCCTAAAAACGTGGGCCGTCTAGAACCCAGGAGCAGCACAGAGCAGAGCGCGGTAAAGCACGTTCACGGGAAAGTACTCAAGGACCCTGCCGGTCCTTACCTGCACAGCATTTGAGATTTGTCTCTAAAATAAAGTCTGCGTGACTTCTCGGAGCACCAGGGGCTCTGCCATTGGCTGGAAAATCTACACCATAGTTGCCCATAATGACACAAAAACGCACACAGTATTTGTACTTATCCTCGGTAAGTCATGTCAGTCTCATAAGTGATAAAGTACAGGCACGTAACTGCTTTAAAACACTCCTCTGTGCACCTGGTCGAGGAGAGCGGAAAACACAAGCCTGTCTCTGTCGCTGTAGCACACAAAGCACCTGGCCAACATCTGTCTTCTTTTGAGTTTCTGATAACGGCCATCCCGAGGGGCGGGGGTGGCACCTCCCGGCGGTTCTGATTTGCATTTTCCTGATGCCTGGTGATGTTGTCACCTCTTCATAGACCTGCTGGGCATTTTCATGCCTTCTTTGTACACATGGTTTTGCCTATTATTTTAATCAAGCTATTTGCTTTTCCACTGAGTTGTGTGAGTTCTTTATGAATTTTGGGATAGTCAGCCCTTATCAGATCAACGTTTTGGGCATGTTTTTTTTTCCCCAGTCCACAGGCTGCCGTTTCATCTTGTCGATTGTTTCCTTGGCTGTGCAGATGCTTTTCAGTTGGAGGTAGCCCCGCTTATTTATTTATTTTTTTGCTTTTTGCAGCCCGAGATTTCGGCGTGATATGCGGACAACACAACAATCGCCAAAGCCTCTGTCGAGGATCTTTTCCCTCCGTTTTCCTCTGGGAGTTTTGTGGTTTCAGGTTTTACATTTAGGCCTTTAATCCACTTTGCATTGGTCTTTGTGCCTGGTGTGAGATAAGGGTCAGATTTCACGCCTTTGCAGTGGAAATCCGTGTTCCCTGCACCGTGGTGGCCTCTTGGTGCCCCGCCGAAAGTTAGCGGGCTGCGTACGTCTGGATTCTCCTCTGGGGTCTGCATTCCCTTCCCTGGGCCGTCTGTCCGTGCTTATGCGAGTACCGTGTAGTTTTCATGACTGCAGCTTTACAGTATGATTTCAGATCAGGAGGTGTGGGGCCTACCACTTTTTCTTTCTCAGAATTGTTTTGGCTATTGGGAGTCTTTCCTGGTTCCATGCAAATTTTAGGGTTTATTTGTTTCTATTTCTGTAAAGAATGCCATTGGGATTTCGAAAGGGATCAGGTGGAATCCACAGATCACTTCGGGAAGTTTGGACATTTTAACAATATTAATTCTTCCAGTCCTTGGGCACAGGAGCGCTTTCCATTCATTTGTGTCTTCTTCAATTTATTTTATCAATGTTTTATAGTTTTCAATGCGTAGATATTTCATCTCTTTGGTTAATTTATTCCTCAGTATTTTATGGTTTTTGATGCTATTGTAAATGAGATTAGTCTCTTAATTTTTTTCTATTAGGTTATTATTTGTCTATTTAAAAATGCTACTGATTTTCGTATGTTGATTTTGTATCCTGCAACTTTACTGAGTTCATTTATTAGCTCTAGTAGTCTTTTGTGGAACTTTTGGGTTTTGTTACATGTAGGATCATGTCATCTACAAATAGAAATCATTTTACTTCTTCCTTTCTGATTTGTATGTCTTGTATTTATTTTTCTTGTCTGACTGCTGGTTCTAGAGTGGCCAGTGAC